AGGGTTTAGGGATTTAGGGATTTAGCTGTAGGGCTCTCTTAAAGGCCTTGGTGAGTTCAGGGTTGCGTGAGTGCTTGCAGGCGGGTACAGCTGCAGGAAACAGGGGAGCTTACCTTGAAGGGTGGGTCTCTGCGTGTGTGTGTGTGTGCATATGTATATATATATATATGTATATATATATATACACACATATATATATATATATATGTGTGTGTATACAAACATATATATGTATATATACACACATGTATACTCATACATGCAGGCGCATATATATATATATATATATGTGTGTGTGTGTATGTGTATCTATATATATATATATATACATGTATGCGTGTGGGTATGTGTATGTGTATATACATATATATGTCATGTATATGTGTAGGAACATATGAACTCACGGTTCTGTGAGTGTGCGCTCTTGTATGTGCAGATCAAAGCCAGAGCAACCCGTGTGCTTCGGTGAACGCGGGATTTCAATAGTTGTTCCCAGGCGCAAGTACATGAAGCTCCACCGTCTGTCCGTCGCTGGAGACAACAAGGCGAATGTGTTTGCGAAAACCTTCGGCGGCAAGCACAAGATCATTACCTGTACTACTATCAAGGTGCGTCGTCTATGCAGTCGGAACCAACAACATGCCGTGGGCAAATGCTTCCCATGCCTGGTGGCGGCGAGCCAGGTGCTGGCATTATGGCGGCAAGTAAAGGCCAGGACAAAGCGGCTCCTTGAAGTTGGCTTCTTGCTGCTTCGGTTCACACGATTCAGATGGACTGTTTGGGCTGATGTGCTCCGTCTCTTCTTCGGGAGGTTGAGTTCTGCATCTTAGTTATGAGTTTCATGATCAAGGGGCTCCCCCGTGTGATGCTGGAGCCGCAAGAACGGAATCATCTTGGACAATCACTTCATCGCGGCTCTTGAGCTGCGAGGTCAATGCCGACTCAAATTTCTCCGGGTCGCGATTCAACACCCATCCATAGTCGATAATCAGCCCCTTTCTGGTTTCAAAGCTTGCCTGCCCGGCTCAAGGGTCTTTGCCCCTCCTTCGATAGGAGGCGCTGGCTTCTGTCATTGCATTTTATTCAGGCCGAGCTTGACACCTCAAAGGCTTAAAGCATCACCGGGCATCTGGCCTTCACCATTCCAAACGGTGTAAAGTGAGCCGGGGGGCAGGCTTTGCTTGGCACAAACCTTGAGTTGTTAGACTTATTTGAAGCAGTGGCAAAGTGCGTCCAGCTTGTGAGCTCAGGTGGCACAACTCTCAGTACGGGCTGTAGCCCTTGCCCCCAGTTGTATCCTGGCAGCTGGTGGGTGTAAACCTCACACTCTCAGCTCTTCTGCAGGGCAGCGACAACAATTTCTACTTGATGTGATGCTGCTGTGGCCATGAGCAAGGCAGCCAGGTTGACGTGAGGAGCCGCACCGTAGCAGCCGTATGCACCTGTCTTCGACAACCCTGGAAGTGTCCACAGGAGTGTTCAAAAGCTCGTTTTATTCTTTGCCTCCTGCATGGCTGAACTATAACTAAAGCTCGTTGGGGGGTCTTGTCTGTTTGGACTTCTGTAGGATCGAGCTTGCACAAACGAGTTCGCGATATCCAGCCGGCCACCAGCCATCAAAAGGGAGCCTTGACCACCGCAGGCATCATAGCCTCCGCAGCCGCCTTCGTCGCGACTGTTGTTGATATTGGGTCTGGGGTGAAGGTGACAGCCATCCGTGTTACAGCATATCGGGCTGCCTCCGTAGCCACCGAAAGCCCCGTAGCCGGCGCAGCCACCTATACCGGAGATTAGCCATCATGACGCATCCCTGTTCGACATCTGGCGCATGCCCAGTCCGTGTTGTGAGCAACCAAACGTTTGAACGATATGGCTGTAGGCATTTCCGCAAAAGACAGCAGTTGTGTAATGCTGGTACTAGTTTCTAAGCACCCTCAATTGAATGGAGCCCACATCGCAGAGTGGAGCCTGCATAGCCGCCGCAACCACCACCTGTGATTTCTCACGATTCTTCCCCGCACCGTGCAACTGATTCGACTCGACACAGCTCGGACATACAAGTACCGCCATACAACCACAGACGCACGTGCGCCACTCTCATGCGCCCAACCGTCAAGCTTCTCGCCAACACCAATGCAAGACCAATGGAAATCCAAGAGGACATCTGTACTTGAAAACCCTTGCTTGCGAGTGAATACTGTTTACCTGTAGGCTTACACTTGCAAAGGTGCTTCTGCATCATGTCACCGTGATTAAACTCTTATAAAAGATCCCGTGAACATTGGCCACTCCTTGCGCCTGCTAGAGATGCCGCGCACGCGGGTGTTCAATCTTGCTGTCACTCATGGTTTCGCAGCTTGACCCGTGTCGGCTTCCCTTGCTAGGCCGCAAAGGAGTCGAGGTAGAGTCGAGCCTTCTGGAAGACAGGAAATGTCCTGTAGGGACCCTAGACTAGAGAGGTTGAGGCAAGTGGAAGCAGGCATCTTGTCTTATGCAGCATCGAATGCAAAGAACGAACGAAGCTTTGGCTAGACACCAAAAACGCTATGGTGGTCTTCAAGAACGAATAGTGCCTTGAGTCGACCGCATTATGGCATAGTTTTCTGCAACGCACCAACAATGAACGTTTTAGGATTCTGCACGAAGTGTGACAGTGACGTGCGCCATGCTGTGAGCGTCACAAGGGTTCACACATGCATCACAATATGACTTCGCCAACACCCGAGTTTGGCTTTGGAGTGCAAGAGCCGTGGCCCTGTCCCACATTTCAACTTACCTCCCAGCTTGATGGTACCGGGCCCAGCTTTTGTTTTCGTGGCTTTGGGGAAGAGGGAGTGCATTTTGGCAGCATGTTGCTGCTGAGGCTTTTGGAGGGCACCATGCGGTACTGCACGAACAACGACTTGAGTGCTCTTGCCCAGGGCTGCTGACAAAAAACATTCTTTGGCTTTGCATGATCCTGCTTCGGGCGCGGAGCTACTGCAAATGACCTACGAGTACGAAGAGCTAAACCGGCATAAGCGTAACCATGTCGTCCCATGTGTCATTGCAGAGCACTGTGGCATGTTTTGACTCTGAAACCATCCCTCAGTCTCAAAACAGGCAAACTTGGAGCATACTTTCTGTCTTGCTTCCGTGGATCGCTTGCACTGTGTGCACTCGCTCCTCCAAAGTCACCAGCACAGCAATGCTTAGGAACAAGCGGCAGGGAACACCAGTCTTTCCGGGTTTAGGCGGAGCCATGCCGGCCCGGATGTATGTCACTCATGTCTGCATGCATGCTTCGTATGTGTGGTACGCACGGTATGCATCCCCCGTCCGCCCTCGGGTGTCGTGGTGCGTGGTCGTGTTTGGGTTTTTGGTCTCCCCTTACCCGAGGGGGGGGGGGGGGGGGGCCGTGGTGTTGCCTGGTGTCTGTGAGTTGGTGTCTAATTTCGCGCGCCGTTGTGCTTTCACGGCCATCCTGCAAAATTGTCCCGAGGGAGTTGCGATAGTAGGTACAGGTGCAACGACTTGCCGGCAATATGGCAAGCCAATTATCATTGTTGCTGCACTGGTGGTGATGCTGATCGACTTCGTGCCAGTCACTGTTTCCCTCTGAGATGTGAGGTGGCGCCGCATGTCGAAGACTCAATAACTTGCAAACGTCACGAGGAACTTGACTCGACACCAAGTGACTGTCAGAGTCATCACAGACAGCCTCTTGGGAAGGGGATGGGTGAATGTCTGTCTGTGCGAAGATTCTCAGGCATGTATGGAGGTAGATAGTTTTCTACTTACTCAGGCACAGAAAGGCATAAGCCTGCATTATCATGTTGTACTCCCCCTCTGAGCTTGCCGCCGTAGGCCCCGGCTGCAGCGGCACCTCTGACATGTTGGCAACATCGACTTTGTACGTAGCTCTTCGCAGTGTCAAAGACAAAGCATGTATTCTGATTGAGCAAAACATCCTTAAATCCCGGCCTCCATAAGCACCACAGCCGCTTCCCCCACAGCCGGCGGGCGGTGGAAATGCGGCATAGCCTCCATAGCCTGATAAGTCGCTTTTGCCGTGCTGTCCCGGGTTTAGGGAGTGTGCGTAAGTTCAGTCGTGCTGCATATTTCACGATCAGTGAGTACGGATCGCATTGGACCGATGGCGTCCCACTTGGGTACCACATTCTCGCAAAGGACAGGCTCCACTAACAACGACTCAACCTAGACGCCAAGATACCAGATTCCTTGGGCGTGCGTTGAACCTCCAAATCACTCCGACTTTTGCTGAACGCAAAGCACATTTTTTTTCCGAACGACAGCGCAGCCAAGATCTTTGCAGTCTTGGGTCGCTGATCGCAAATACTTGCCAAAATGATGGGGTGGCTCCACCCCCCAGCAATTTGGTCAAGCTAGCAAGCTGCTGATTGGTCCAGCAAGCTGTGCATCTCCGGCCGGTGCTCTCCGTTGCAAGGGCGACCATGCTCGGAGCGACAGCTTTATAAACTTTAGGCTCGTAAGGCTAGTACTTTCTGTATGATGGCTGTTGGAAATGGCAGGAATGGGGGGGGGGGGGGAGATGTTGAGACCAGGGTTCAGTATTCATTTGAGGATCGTCTGCGATGCAAACATTGCCAAAACTTAAATGTTAAAGCGTTCACCAGCCTCTGAGCCGTACCACACGCCTCTGAGCGTGGCAAGGCACACATTTGTGAGCCCAAAATAAAAACTGAGGGAACAATGCAAATAGCCGAGGTAGCACCGCACTAGTTTTTACAGCTCAAGTGCACGAATCTCGGTACCGCGTGCGAAGCACATCTTCAGAAATGCCGAATTCTTCAAACATGGCTCCGTACCCCAACGAGGAATGCAGGCAACCATGAAATTCTATTCTTCTTCTTATGCAAGTAAACAAGACCAAGATCAAAGATGTTAGGGACGGCAACCACAAGCACGGGGAAGCAGGGACCGGCCAGGACAGTCCTGCTTCTGTAAACCCATTCGACATAAGCATCGAGTTGTAACACTCACAGTTTCTAGCTCATGGTTGGAATAGTATTACAAATTTGGATTTCCGTTCACCTTATTGAGTTTAAGTACACATGCAAAAAAAAGGCCTTACCCGTTAGAACGTGTCAGTGTCCCTTATGCCAGCTCGCATGCAAGCTCATGAACTCTCGGAGCGCCATGGTCTTCATGGAGCCCTTGCAGGGCAGCAGTGTAAAACAAGAGCCCAAACCTTAACTTCCACGTTCGAAAAAAAGCAGCTGCATAGCGTTGCACCTAACGACGTCCCAACCTTCACCAAATCCAGCACGTCCCTGTGCGAGCCGAGATGGTCGCACTCCAGAGCGAAGTCGGCCGCAGTCCGGCCCTTGGACGTCCTCTGTTGCAGATCGGCACCGGCGCCGACCAGCAGGCGGACCATCTGAGCATCCCCGAGGCTGGCAGCGACATGAATCGGATAGACCACTTCACGCATGAAGGACAAGCACGAAACCTTCGGCTCATCGATGCTTCCGCTGAAGTTGTGCTTCTGCAAGAACTGCATGACCTGTTCCTGGTTCTTCTGTCGCCGCTGCCGCTTCTTCACGTACAGCCGCAGGCTGTCCCCAGGGTACAAACTGTCGCAGGACTTCTCTGAAGAGTTGGAGCAAGCAGAGTCCGTGGAGTCGCTGCGGTACGGCTGAGACGCTCTCCCATCTCCAAGCATGGGCAGAGCCGAGTCAACGTCGATAGCTTCCGGCTTAATGGAGGCTGGGCAACTCGGTGCCATGGCTCTCGACGTCTAAAAGCTCACTTTGGTCGTTGCCTTCCGGGGGCCAAGCAGAGAGCCATAAAAGATCAGGAACCGCCGCCAGGAAAGATCAGGAACGTCTACCGCCAGCACTCAGACTCAAGTCATGGAGAACCACAACGTAAGATGCCTCTCTTTCTCAGATATTACAGCTCTGAATAAAGCAAGGGGTGACACCTTCTTCGTGTCCTGTGCATAAGAAAGCCACTGTACATGTAAAATTATGTAACTGTCGGCACCTACGGCCCACCAGTGTGTGTCCAACCAGCGAAGCTGCTTGTATCTCACGTGAGCAGCGAAGCCACGCTTTGACATTGGCAGATTCTGACGGTCAAGTCTGTCGCTCTCAGAGCAGACATCACTTCGAGCAACCTGGTAAGCTGCTCGTGTTAGATCGTATCTCATGTGGGTGGTTGTCAAAATTAGGGTCCCTTTTGGGGTACCCTAAATAATAGGTGCCGTATTATAATACGGACCCAAAAAGGGACCATAATTTTGACAACCACCCATGTGAGGAGCAAAAATACGAATTGATGTTGCCTCGTCTGCCGGATTCCGACGGTCAAGTTTGTCGCTCTCAGAGCAGACATCACTTAGACTTAGAGGAAGACACGGACGCGCATTTGGAAAACATTGGTCATGGCACGAAAGTCTGCAGGGTATAGTCTCTCCAAGCTATTCCCCCAGCTAAAAATTAAAATACAGAGAAGATACCGAGTGTTTGAGTTGCCGGGTCTGGAGTCATCTACACCTGTGGAATGGAGCCTCCATAGGCCACAGTGGAGTCACACTTCGACCCCACACCCATGCTTTTTGAAACACGTAAGAGTCAAGTCAGCCTTGAACATGACGTGCTTGACGTCTCAAGGACCATGTGAAGGTCGCAAAAAGTTCGCAATGTTATGAAGCTTTGCAATGAACCTCATTATCGGCGACATCTTGGGCCAAGTCGAAACAACCCTCCTAGGACCTGTTTCTGGTGGCCTATGAAGGCTGAAACGGTGCTTGCTTGTTTTGCCAGGTTCCGAGGATGCATGTGACGACGACGCCCAAACGATGTGATGGAAGATTGGCACTTGTTTTTGGGAAAAGTTCACGTGCATGACGGATTTTGCCTATGCTGTCCGATCAAGCCTCAATCCCAAGCAAAGTAACTTTATCTCTATCATATGCGCCAGGACCGGTGCATGTCATGAATGATTCATTAACGACACGAACTCTCGGAGAGCCATGGTCTGAATCTTACCTCTGAGTAGATCAAGAACATCCCGGTGTGAGCCAGAATCGTCGTGCTCGAGGGCGAAGTGGGTCGCCGTCCTTCCCTTGGATGTCCGCTGCTGTAGATCAGCACCTGCCTTTACCAGCAGGCGCAGCATCTCAGCATCCCCGAGTCTTGCAGCGACATGGATTGGATATAACACTTCTTTGCCGAACCCGGTGCAGGACATGCGTGGCAGCCTGGGTTCACCCACGTCTTTAGAGAAGTTGTGCTCCTTCAGAAACAGCTCCAGCCGCTCTTTGTTCCGCTGCTTCCTGAGCCGTCGCTTAGCGATGGTCTGCACAGAGATTTCAGAGTCTGTCGTATCCCACGAGGAGATGCCGCATGACTCAGTCTCCAATTTAATGTCGTGGACGAAGCCGGCGGAAAGTGTTTGCCGTTCTGGCTCCGGGACATCTGGATCGTCCTGAAAGTCTGTGGGGTCCCAAGATGGGGGCACCTCTGACTCCTCTGCAGCACAGGGCTGCAAAGAGACGTGCATCGAAGGCGCCATGCTGGGTTAGAGCGAAGGGCCTTGAGCCTTTGAGTTCAGCGAGGGCATGAGCGAGCAGCTGGTTCAAGGTATTCTGCTTTGCTTGGAGAGTGACACTTGTGTGGCTCGCCACAGATCACAGCTGGGGCTTTCCAGGGATAGAGCCAAGCGCAACGTTCCCTTGCAGCCGTGGGGCTCTTGGCTCCGTAGCTTCCATCGGGCTTACCGCCTCCACGACAGCAGCTCTTGTTTGCATGCGACTTCCGCACTGCATGGTCGAACCGTAAGGGAGCCAGCAAGGGGAAGAGAGGGATCTGCTAGTCAGCTAGTCCCCTTGCGCATCTTTGCCGTTGTTGGTGCGAGTGCGTGCGACTTGTCATTTGTACAAGAGTTCCGCACGTTCACATTGCCTTCATGTTCGATCTGCAGCTGTGTGGCTGCGTCTTTTCATACTTTTCAAGCACCGGGGTGGTTCGGTGTGGCAAAGTGCCGCACAATTTGTTCGATGTCCCGCCAGCCGCTGCCCATCGAGAGTGTTGGGAACAGGTGCATTGGCTGATGTCGGCTCGATTCCATCCTTACCCGTGCGGTCAGTGAAATTTGTTGGCCGTACCTTCCACTACCTTCGCAAGACGAAGGAAGGGCGTGAAAGCTCGTCTTCCTTAAGGTGTCTGTGCCGCTGGAAAGCCGCTAGAAGTAGCCTTCCAGATCTTACTGCGCATACTTATTCGGATCTGCGTTCACGGTGTTTTGACTCGTTAGGATCCCTCCTTCCTGCCTATCTTACTCAATCACACCTGGGTTGCGAAGGAGCAATTCGCCCGAGTGCCTTTCCAATCTCCGGCTCGGTCCTTCCTTGCGTGGAGACGGGGGAGAGGGGTGCAGTTGTCGAGCAACTGCTGGGGGCTTTGTCTGGCAACTCGACTCGACTCATATGCCCTATAGCTTTGCACCCAAGTGCTTATGAGTGCCCAAGTCTGGAAGCGCTTCAACTCTGCCTGACCCTAAACCCTAAACCCTAAACCGAACTTATAGGCTTCTGACGCAGCTCCAAGGCTCCCCATGCCTTTGGGCATCCCTTTGCCGAAATCTTTGCCGCCACCTTTGCTCGGAGCTCCCTTGGTCCCCTCCGCAGTGGCAGGTTTGCCTCAGCCGGTCCGCCAGATACTCAGTCTAAGCCACACACACACACAAACACCCTCTTGAAGTCTTGGGAAGGTAGTAGCCGTCGAACATAACCGAACCAGAAATTAGCTGTCCAGCAGCAGTCGATCCACTTGCCCATGATGTTATGCTCCTCTGCAAGCTGTTCTCAGGGTTTTCAGATGTCCGGAAATGGGGATGAAGACGGGTGCAACAACCCCACACTAAATTCCAAGGCGGGTTTTTCACTTACCAAGCTGAAAGCCATCTGCGCATTGTACAACAATCGATCGACTGCCCGACCTGCACGATCTCAGGACCTCCACAGTACCGAATCACGGAGTCCTACATCATCCCAGTACCAAAACCGCATCTTGCCGAAGCACCCCCCATCTACACTTCCCATCCTTGTGCATGGACATAATGGCGTCTACTGGCTCAGGGGTCTCGTAAGAGACGAAGCCAAAACCGCGGGAACGCCCAGTTCCGCGATCTGTCATGACCTCCGAGCACATCCATGGCCCTCAAATTGGATTCGCCGCCCACTGGAGAGCAGCAGAAGCAAAAAGTGCTATAGTTGGCACGTCGGACACTCTGGCGACATGCAGTGCCCGGAAACCTTAGCATTGCCACTCAATTGTAGCCGGCTCATCCCTGGCCGTAAGAAGTCCTGAACCTGCACGCTAGCCACACCCCTTCCCCTTCAAGCGGGTCGGTGTTGCCACTACATCCGTCAGCGTTCCGAAAGTGGAGAAATACTCGCTTAGAACCTGGCCGCTGAAGCGAGGAGTGAGGCGGGTTCTGGTGTACCACTCCCCAAAACGCAGCACGAACGAATATGCCCGTTTAGTTTAACACAGGCAAGAGGCATCTGTTGTAACTTCTTGAGGTAGCCCACCGACAAACACCTGAGAATTTCAACGTTAACAGCCCCTGAGCAGGTACTGCTGCATCATGGGCCACAATTTGCAAGAATTTTGCTGTTGAAAATTGTGGAATGCAATGACCTGCACCGACTCTCCGAGATGTAACCATGTGCTAGTGGCAATCTGCGCTGTGCCTTATAGGGGCCGCCTTTCCCTGCCATGACGTCCACACCGACCAGCGTCGCTGGAGCAGGTCTGTAGATATATAGATTTTTCCCATTTGACATGCAGACTGGCTGGCTGTGCATCTGTTTGTGCGTGTGCTGCTCGGTGTTTTCGTGCCTTCTGCCCACAGGCAACTTACCTTTGGCTGCCACTAGACAGGACGTGAACCGTGGCAATCATACTCGAGACGAAACTGCTGAAGTCGCGGTCATGGAGCTGCACATGGCGCCTGCGAGGCTGGAGCCTTTGGGGGGGGGGGGGGGNNACTTCATGCTTCAACCAAGTTCCAGCCTTTAAAGGGTGCCTTGGTACAGAGTCCCGGGTGCCTTGCAGCAACACCTCGCTGCCGGCTGTTTCTAAGCTTCTTTCCAGCCGGACGCTCGTAAAACGGGTAAGGCTCCGTGCCTATATCATCCTGAAAACCTCGGGGTGCCTTCGGAGTACTCTTGGCTCTGGGACTGAGTGCTACAAGCAGCTTCTCTTTGGCCATGTCGCGCTGGAGGCTTGCACATGGACTAGTGTCAGGCATGTTGTGCAAACGCATTACCAAGTCCATGGCGAATCCAGATCTCGAGAATATCACCAACAGGTCTGTGCAAGCAGAAACACTCATCCAGTATTCTGGAATTCGCCCCGAACTTGATCGCAGCCGAAGGTATGCAGGGCGGTATGTACAATGCCCAGCTGTCCACAGCAGTCTCGTGGTCGATATGTGTCACTGTTGTATGAAGATGTCGCAGCTTCCGGCGAAGACAACAAACCATACGCACAGTGCCAGCCCCGACACCATCAGCTGCGAAGAGTTTGACAGGTCGCAGCGCCTGGCTGACCACTCACGGTTGAACGGCAGCCCCGCCAACGGTGGAAGACTTGTGCTCGAAAAATAACAGCCCCTCAGTACTGAACACTCACACAAGGTGCAGTGGACAGGGTCAGCTTTGCAACATGCCTGCCTCCGACAGAGAGCTTTGAACGTCCGTTGCAGCATCAGCATGAGCACTCGCGATGGTGGTGGCGGGTTGTCGTGGTCCTAGTTGTGCTGACATAGTGGTACGGTGATCGGTGTAGGGGTAGTCGAAATAGTAGTAATAGTAATAGTAGCAGTAGTAGCAGCAGTAGCAGTAGCAGTAGCAGTAGTAGTAGCAGTAGCAGTAGCAGTAGCAGTAGCAGCAGTAGTAGGAGAAGCCGATGGAAACCTGGAGGCAAAGCAACAAATGCGTTGACAACAAACCCTGTCACCAGCAGGCATGAAGCGATACCCTCAATTTGCAGCTGACCTTTTCTGCACAACCCCAGCTGCCGTGGAAGGCGACTTGATGCTCGAAGCCGCGTACGGCCATGTTATCACAGCTCGCCTTTTCCATGCCAGCTTTGAAAGTCATCCGCAATGCCAATGATGTGGCAGACTCATTCAGAGATCTCTGCTGGACCAATGTGCCGATGGCATTTCCCCTCGAACCCTTCTCAAGATTCGCGGTTCATGTCTGAGAACTGCCGACTTTCCTGGATTTTGTGACTCTCACATTGCAAGCCCGAGGGCCAACTCCACACGTCTCAAACTTCGTCGAGTGACTGAGCAGCTCGTTGGAAACAGGACACGAGCATCTAAACACGAAGCCAAGCAGCAACATGCAGCAATTTTGTCCTATCCTTTGCTCGGACTACGGTGCAACACAAATCTGCACAACTCGAGGTGACACCACCAGCAGCTCCACAGTCTCGGTAGCTTGTAATACAAATGTCGATATGCAGGAAAAGTTTAGCTGCCTAGCTGGGGCGCTCGTCAGCTGTGGTTTTCTGAGTTCCCGTTACTTCAGGGTTGAAGCTGTGCGGGGCAGGAATGCTTTCCAGATGCCAGGCGGCATGCGGTCTCGTTTACCCATTGCACTTCGCATCTTATGTAGCTGCATGGCGCGGCCTATGAGGAAGTGCCTGTCAAATGCAGGTGGCACGGATAACGATCATTGGCTCTGCGAATTCATGCTGGTTTGAAGCTCTGGCACTGGACATTGCATGCCATGCTTTGTGTCCCAGGGACCTCTTGCACAAAGCCGATCATGCCGTTCACTAGTCACTACAGGTAGTCCTTCAAAACCATGTGATGCTGTAGCTACGAACCATGAGCATGTTGACCAGTGCTCGGGATTCAGAGCTCAGGCAGCACGTCTGCAAAGGCCTGCTTGGAGTGGAGAGGCTTGACATGTTTCCTTGCAAGGTGGCTTGCCAACATCAGGCAGTGTTCACCCCGTAAGCGCGCAGCTCCCATAGCTCAACAGCTCTCTGGAGCAAAGGAGCTTCCAAAATCGACCTCATGGACAGGACACAGGGTTGCTGCTTGCAGTTGCTCCATCCTCCAGGCTGCAGTCCCAAGAGCCATGTCTGGTAGGTGCCTTTGCACGAAGAGCCTGAAAGGCATGGAAGCATTCAAGATATCGATTGTACTGCCGTTTGCAAGCTGAGTCGCAAGTCTGGGCAGCTATTCTCGGCTTTGGCCACGCTTCGAGCACCTGAGCTGGGCACTTTGCTTCAGCCCGACATTCATTCGTCATTGATTGGCGTGGACCCTTTCGCGAGAAGCTGAGAACTGTAGAAGTTGTGACTGGTCCCTCGTATTGTGCATTTGCATGCACAGAAGATGCATGCAGTCTTGAATGCCTTCTTTAGATCAGGTGGATTTCAGATGGAAACCACGCAGGAATCAAGGCTGGCCCTGACGTCTTTGTTCAAGGATTTTGCGCACAACGCGTCGGCCCGCGTGCTGACAAGCCGTTGATTTCCTTTCAACTG